CCGTGTTCCAAGACGGCAAAATGGCCATTCAGGGTAACAACGGGAAATTCATGGGCCTCGACGACGAGGACAGTGTGGTGTGTTCCAAGCGTCGGGCGGAAGCGGACGAGGTGGTGAAGATCCGGGTCCAAGCCCGGATGGAAGCCCAAGACCCGAATGAAGGCGTGCCCGTAGAAGAACGGGGATCTCTCGTTGATGTTGAAGTGAATTACATGTGGGTGAATTATTCATCGCGACGTACCGAATTTTCGAAAAATTCAGCTTGAAACAGAAAAAAGCCAAGCGCTTAAAATAATGATTCTGCCGAGTGTTGAAATGGGGAAGTCTCTAAATTTCTGGTCAGCTCTTAGTTCATATCAGTGTTCCCCGACCTCTTTTGGGCCCACGGACCAGCAAATTTACCTGAAATGTTTTGCAGACTGGCGAATTTCTGAAAAATGTTCTGCAAAATGGTAAAGTTTCATGGAATTTTTGCAGACTCGAAAAAATTTTGTTTGAATGACTCTGTAGCAGATATTTTTAATATTCTGATTTTTTTTCCGAACAATGAAGCAGCTTTAGTGCAATGTTCTCAAAAAATTAGAGGGGTGGGCTTGAAAAAGGTTCCTCAGTATGAAAAATTGAAATAATTTATTTCATTGGTTGAAAATTTGTCTGAAGCGTTATTAAAGAGAAAACCCAACTTATTTTAAATAAAAATTAAGAGCTTCCTTGTAAAATGTTGACAACATGAAAAGTACTGTTTATTAAAAGCAACTTGTTCGTTGGTTTCTGAAATTAATCATGAATTTGTCTTTGAACGCGCTTCCTGACATTAAAGCTGCCTAAGATGGTTTTTCGCTGCGAAAGATTTATGAAGTCATTGAAATTCCATTGAATTTGGAAATGATTTTTTCCCGTTGAGAAAATTTTTTCGTGCGCGTAGATGTCGCTCACGTTTGGGTGCGATTCCGATTCAATTCCTCACAAGTAGTCGTTTTCAAATCCTGTCCTGAGTTTTTTCTGCGTGCAGATTTCTGGAAGTGGTGTCAGCCTTGCTAAATATGCTTCTTTCAACTATTGCAGAAAGAAGTTCCAGAAATTTCAGGACAAAAAGATGCGTATCAATCCAGAGGATCGGTCGAATTTGAAGAAAGCGTTGAAAACGGGTGAACTTCATGAAGCTCTGCTCGATCGAAGAGAGAAGATGAAAGCGGATCGCTATTGCAAATGAGTTTTTACTTTATTTTTACGATTCTCAAGTGTTGACTCATGGTTCAATATTTGGTTTTCGACTTTTCAAATAAATTGAGCCTCTTGATTTTTGAACCGTTGTTTTTAGTGTCTCGAAAGCGGAGATGGAAAATAATTAGTTGCTCTTTGTTATTTCAGATGATGCAAGTGCGGAAAATGGCACGAATATCAGTGATGACTCTGTTTGTGATTGGGTTTGTGCGTGCGATTGAAGTGGATCATGAGAAAATCGTGGAACAGTACGAGAAAGGCTTTCATCCGAAAAACGAGACCGGATCTCAGTCCTCTGTTCCAAGGAAGGGAGTCTTGC